TATAGCATTGAGCAGAACTTGAAACCAACGGTGGAGTGGCTGCTGGATTTGGGCCTTAGCAAGAGGCAAGTTGCAAAGGCAGTAGCAGTTTTTCCGCAAATTCTTGGGTGTAGCGTTCAGAAGAACTTGCAGGCAAAATATGATTTGCTTGGAACATTTGTTACTGTGCAAGAACTTGAAGAATTGGTTGCTTCATTCCCACCACTCCTCGGGTACAGCTACAAGCGCCTGAGAGCTCGCATCACGCTGCTGGCAGATCAAAGGAAGACATTCAGGCTTGTAAATGCCATAACTCTGACAGACGATCGGTTCGTTGATAAATTCTGCTTCAACGGTTGAGGGTTTGTGTCTTGACAAGGTGCGAATCATGTGAGTGAGAAGGGAGCTAGTACGAGCGATCCCTCAATTGGACATGTGAGTGAATCAGCTCTTGGGAATAAAAAAGCATTGCGCGGGCGCGGGATACATAGAACACTGGCACGTGCAAGAATACGATTGGGATGGTGCAGAGGGAATCTGATTCTGTTCAGGCCACACACACACACATCTCTCTCTCAACATGGCTTTTGCGCCCTGGACGAGATATCATGAGGCTGAACCAGACCTTTAGGTTTCCGTTGGAATATCATAGCACCCCAAAAGACAATCTTCCTCGGCCATTAGCTGCATGTATATAATATAGGTCACCATGGAAGCTGGTAAGTGTGAGTGTGTATGCACCTGCACATGTATATACACAAGATGTTTGCTCATGTGATTGATGACATATATAATCATATATATATACGGTATATGTGTTTATTTATGTATGTGTATCAGGTGTGCAGAAATTGAAATGGATGAGTTTCCCGTTTGACCTTGCAGGACAAGAGCGCACCAAAGCTCAGCGACGAGCAGGTGGTAGAATGTGACAACCTTAGATGTTGCCCGCTTTGTAGTTCAAGACGTCTGGACACCCAAAAGCTGTCTCGAAATTGGGTGCTTGCTAAGTGGCCATGTGAGTTTTAAACAGAAGTGTAGACGGACACCGTTGTGCTTCGTGGGTTCACAGGTGCCGTAGCATCTCGTTTGTAGAAAATGGCTCGTGCAGAAGATCGGATTTTACATGATTTTACAGTATCGATGTTGTTTGAAGCTGTTGCATTAGGTCTTTATTCCAAGTAAGCAGTCAGTACCAGATGTATCATGATGTAACTTCCTGTGAAAGCAGATAGACTGCTTGAAAACCTGATTGGCCACAATGGGTGGCAGGCTGACGCTGCCATGATTTCATTTGGGAAGTTCAGTTAATATCTTTTAAGTTCAGGTGCCTTCCGCTATATGAAGATCTATGAGACTGTGACGGGAAACTCGTGGGCAACTTAGCTTGTTTTGCCGCTTTTCGGGAGTACGAGAACAGCTACACAGGCTCGGATCACGTTGAGATTATCACCTAAAGATCCTTGGAAGCTAGCTGAGCAACATGGCGGGGCTTCAAGCTAAATGTCCAGCTTGCAGCTTGCCCTCACGCTGACACCCAGTACTCGTCATCACCTTGCTCCAAGAAAGGAGGGGTTCAATCTCAGCTCAGCTGGACACCTGGCAGATTCACGGGCATTGAGGTTCGAGTTCCCGCCCAAGATGGCACCAGAAAAGAGGCGGGATATGGGGAGAGTGGGTTTTCGAGCTAAGAGAACTCAAGCTCCAAAGTGAAGGGAATCTGGAGTCATGGCTCAATGAGACCTGGAAGGAATTTGTGCCAATTGGTTTAAGCAATGAGACGATAGTCCGAGTAGAATTGAGTAGATTCAAGCTCCAAAATGGCTCAAACATGGCTTAGAATCAGGGGTGCTTCATCGAACTAAAGCAAGGCGACAGTGTGATTCTTTGCCGCTGTCGCAAGGAGTTTGGGATCCATCCCGCGTGTTTGACTTCACAACTGGTCTTCCTTTCTCTATGTAAGCGGTGATTGCAGGGGGGGGTCCTCCGGTAGGCCAAGTTCAAATCTGCCCAGTGTCAACTGTTCTTTGCTTCCAATAGTGGGGATTCGGCGCAGGCTTGCATGCATGATTCGAAGGTTTCCTGTGAATCAAGCCATGAGGGGAACGAATCAAACCTCCGGCTCCGCTTTGAAGTGTGTCGGCAGAATGCATTTGCCAACAGGTGTCGGAGTCCCAGATCAGCCCCTTCGACCCCCTCCGGCCATTGAGGATTATCTCCAACCTTCAGAAGGCTGGCATGATCCGTGGCTGTTTGGCGATCATTTTGGATGCAGACCAGCCTCTCGACTGAAAACTAGATGCAAATGTTCAGAAGTTCTCAACGGTCAAGGGTTGCATTTAATTGGGTTCACTATGGATGGCTCAACATCAAAGCTGGGCTGCTTGTATTAGGTTTCGCGGTAATGGTTGAGGGTTTGAGCCATTTACGCCTAACATCCCACACTGCAAATGCAGTTGTCCTGTTATCATGTTACTTGTGCTGTAGAATCCAAGCTTGGACTCATGGATTTATGCAGTTGTTTTGGACTGTCTTGTCACTGAGAGAGCTTTGCAAGTTTGTGCCAGCTTCCTTTAGAGCCTAGGCACAGTAGTTGTTTTGTATGTTGCCTTTTTTTGAACCAACTTGTAACATGAGGGGTAAGAAGGATAGCTAATGAGTCGTCAAAAGGCAAGCTATTGTCAACACCGTTATTATTGTTTTCACGAAGTGTGCAGACCCCACAGCAACTGTGAAATGAGGTCGCAGGCAGATTCCATCAAGAAGGAACTGAGCAAATTCAAGATTCCATCTCAGTCTACGCCTTAGACTTGATACCTTGGATTTGAGGGCTCAACATCCATTTACTATGTCAAGGAATGTGAAGTGTACATGCAGGTATGTTGAATTTGGGTAGAAGTAAGGCAAGTAAGAGAGAGAGAGAGAGATTGTAGCACTCGATTCTGGGCCGGCTGTCTTGAGACATACTGTCCCAATTCTGCTGTACCTCCGAGCGCTTCTTGGCTGAGGACTGCCACCCTTCCAAAGGACGCTGCAGCTGCTGACAAGCTTATCGTAGGGCTGGCATGCTTGAGACTTACTGGATCCTACCTAGCTTCCTCATGCTGCCATGGCAAAATTTAGCGAAGAGCTTCTTTATCCTGTGTATTTGTCGCAGCCGCAGGCATGCCTGGACCTTGGCCTACTCGTTCTCCAGAATCCATGTGATCTAGATGTGATATATATATTTTTTTAACTTATATACATATGTACATCCATGACACTGTGGATGAATCAGTGCATGTCATTTCTTGTGGTTCCCTGTTTGGACAAAGAGTCGGCCCCAGACTCCCTGGCAATTCGGTGCAGATGACTTGTCAGCAAATTCTACCAGCCCGAAACCACAAAGTTGTGAAGGTGTTTTCGGCAAATCAACTTTGTGATGTCCGTTCTGCGCCAGGCGGAATACAACAAGTCCACGGAACCCTTGATCCTGGTGCAATGCAGCGACACGCAGCAGGGCAGCCCTGATGAAGTGAGAAGGTCCAACTACATTTGCATACTTAGTTGTGATCAGATGCAGATCAACGTGTCAGACAACATTTGGAAGCTTATCTTGTTTAGGCAGAATGTAGCGCTGAATTCGATGCTGCTTAGTTTTCTGCTTGGCTGTTTGTAAGTCTCATTCCAGGTCAGGGACCCAAAACGGAATGTGTTCCTTCTTGCTTTTGGTTCCAAGCCCTGCATCCCATGAGTCAGAGTGAATGATGATTCCCAAGATCCCAAGCCTGTTGGCTGAGGTCTGGCGCGTTGTCCTCAAGCTTGCAGGGCACTTTGCAGTTCTCTTTGGTTGCGTTGATTTGTCCTGCTTGGAATTATATGTGCCCCAAATATATAAGTGTTAAAAGGTATAAGTGTTCAGCCCCGGTGGGAGAGCAAGCAAAAGTATGTTGCAGATCACAATAACTAGGTGTGTGTGTAATATATATATATATATGCACTGTCTATAAGTGTTTTGCGGTGATTTACACTACTACCCGGATTGAGGCATAATGCCAACAAGAAGAACGGTTGTCCTTTCTTGGGTCTCTTCATCGAAGCCTCCGAGGTTTCCTGTGATCACATGCCCTACCAACGGCATGCCGCTCCCTGAGCAGGTTCCACAAGTTGCTTAGGAAGAGCATGCTCGGAAAGATGGACCTGGGAGAGCGAAGCTGTTTACAAATCGTCCTTTCGGGAAACAACTACAAACGAAACCACGAACAGCTGCAAAACAACAAACCGACTACAAATCAACAAAACAGCTTAGCGCAAAACAACTGAGGAAGAGCGCTTCAGGTCTGGCGCTCAGCTGTGGCAAGTGTTGGTGGCAAGCAGTTCCTCCTCTTTGGGGATCCACACCAGTTGCAAGCAATTGAGTGAGCTTTGTTCTTGCGTAAGGAAAAGAGTGCATACATTTCCACAATGTTTGATAGACTGAATATGACTGAATCCGTTTCTTATGGCTATCACAAAATTAGGGGCTACCTGACCGGGAAGCTCTTCCCGAGGCCTTTGCTGTTCGCCGGAGAATGTGGGGAGACTCGCAGCACAGATCTTCTGTCACAGCTCGAAGGAGACTGGACCAGAGACGGAAGCAGAAGCCCTATAGCAAACAAGAAAAAGACCTGAGTATCTTTCGTTGGTGTGTTTGAAGTACGACTCAGCCTCACTCAAACCACCCAACTCAAAATGCTGTTCTTGTTCAAGATCTCTGTTGAGGGGTCATGTTTGTTTGTGCGCAAACTTGCGAACCATGCTTGAAGCCCATCCCTCCAAAAGTAGGCGCCCAGGGAAACAGGACCAACGGTCGGACCAACGTCAGCAAGTCGCACCAACGGCACTCAATCGCAATACGGGTTGCACGAATTTGACATAATTATCAGACATCAGCTTAGGTCTTGTGAGTCTTGTGTCCTGGCCGATACCTTCAAGAAAAGTTTGGAATATCCTCGATGAAAGGCAACCGCAGACAACGATCAGTGGCTGTTCAAAGGAACCTTGGCCCGCTGAAGGGATGAGGGTCAAGTTGCCGTCTTGAAGCAACAGCTTGGTCACCTGGTAGAATCTGACAGCATTCTGTTAGGGTGGAAACGTCCTGCCTTCGCCATTTCTCCGCAGGAAGTGCGGACTCTCCTTGAGGCCTGATGTTCAAAACCATTTGGAGGACTTATAGCTACCTATTGGAGCGGCTTAGAGGATCGGAGAACAGTAAAACAAGGTCTGGTGCAAACAACATTAACATACTCAGTGATTGTTTCCATATTTAAAGTTTAAAGTATATATTGTCTATGGTGTTTCAGATGTCCAGAAGTTTGAGGTGAAGGGTGAAGCGCTTATGAACCCAGCTTTGAATCGAGGATGATTGATTTGCGTAGGGGATGGGTCATGCAACCCTGTTCTGTTTGGACGGATGTGAATGGTTTCTGTGCCCAGAATCTAACGCCCAAGAGACTCTCAACCATTAAAAGCTACTATTTGGCAGACCACATTCGGGGGACTTGGATGCAAAGCAGTTGCCGGTTCCACCGGGGCGAGGCGAGCATTGACGAGCAGTGCAGCTCTCAGCTAGATGGAGTCCTCCCTGGTGCATGCCATTTGCCATTTGCCAAAGTCGGAGCTGTTAATTGGAGAGATTTCGAGATACTAGTCACTATACGTTACTGTAATGAATTGTAGTACTTGGGAATACTTCGGATTAGCCCACCTCCAAATATCTTGCTATCGCAGAGACATCTTGCTGCACTGACACCGACCATTAAGGCAAAGGAAAAAGCCCCGCACGGCCTAAAGGTGGGGATATGGATGTCCAATGCCTGTGTTGCTTGCACCTTTGTAGGAATTCTTAGGCGTCAAGCAGCTGTGTGCTTGTGCTTGTGTCGGTTTGGATGCACTGTATCTTCGGAGCAGCGAGAAGAGTAGGAAAATGCAGCGTTCAGTTTTGCTACCTCCTACTGCACACAAATCTGAGGAGGTTTGTTGGTTTATGGCATTACACATGATACTGTCGATGAAAGGATGATACTTGTCGAGAGAGAGAGAGAGAGAGCTAGCAGCTTGCTCCTGTTGGAGTCCCTGCCGGACAAAGAACTATGCAGCCGCTTAAGCCACCAGCCTTTTCTTGGCACGCCTGGTGTTGAGAAGTTGAGGAGAAGAGGGGGGAGACATCATGTGTTCAAGAAGAAGCCTTTCTCTCGCAGGTCATCCTGGCTGCTTCACGAATGAGAAATCATGAGAAATCGTTTCAAAACTCTGTGCATAGAATGCCTGCTTTGTTTGGAGAGCAAAGCGCTTGATTGAAAGGCTCGCTGTTTCACTTGATTTTGACACCTGCATTGGTGTGCTTGGCGCACCAGTACAGTGGACGAGATTGGGGTTTACTCTGGAACTTCTGCCGACCCGTACAAGGTCTATCTAGTCTTCTGTCGTTCCATCACGAAGACCAAACGTCAGTGTAGCATTGCTGATATGTGTGGAGACAACTGCACTCTGATATGTTGATTTGTGATTCAAGAGGGCATCCCATGCCAAAAGCAGGTGAGAGCCCGGTTGACGTTGAGAAAAAAACAGCTTTAGCTTTGAGATGAATTTAAGTCATGCAGAAAAGTCCCAAGGCTATGTTTGTCAGCAGGTGTTTTTTGTGGTTCTGGATGTTTGAACATATGGTGTTGAAGAACGATGTCGCTTGGGTTGGCAGAAAGGCCTATCTCTTGTCTTAGGGCTGGGTGCACAGGCTCCCAGCTTCCATTTGATTCGGCTTCTCCGGTCTCCGGTGTTAAGTGAAGAAAACTCGAAAACTGCACGCAGAGACCACTGTAGGAGGGCCTTTTATTAGTCCAAACATGTCCGAACATTCTCAATATACACTACAGTTTCCACTGTTCGATGGGGAAGCCCCATGGAGAATTTGCGGGGAAAAGAAGTGTTGCAAGCCAAGCCTTTTTGCCAACTGATCAGGATTTCACTTTCCCAAGATTAGGTGCAGACCAAAATGCTTTCAGGCTATCTCACTCGAGCTAAATCAAGCCCCTAGAGACTTGCCCAAATCTGGGACACGTCCCGTCTCGAAATCATCAATCGAGCTTTGCCTGTACCTGTGAAGCAGTCAGAATAGCACCTTTGCATGCCAGAGTCACAGTCTTTTGTGCGAGCACCAAGGAGAAACCAGAATTAATATCTCGTTTGCATCAGAGAGATGCACCGATTTGCCAACTCGTGCAAAAACACATGCTGAGCGCCTGACTTACAGTAAGTATATTAAGTGACCCGGTGACCCATCTTTTGGGGTCAAGACAGTTTGTGCGCATAACTTGCCCTTCGTGACATTGACGATCAAGAATGCTTCTATGCTGAATGGATACACGTATACACTCAGGTTTCTATACAAGTATGACTCGGTGATAATTTCCGTGATGTATTGGAAGCACTATTTGAGGCCCACCATCAAGTGCTTTAGTCTTTCCACCGCAGATGCGGTTTGTGGTCGAACCCAGCTTTGTGCCACATGGACTGAAGCATCACCAAACCTGCCCCGCATGGCCAGAAACCCGTCCGGGTTCATCGTCCACACCAGCGAGGTCGACTCTTGGCTTGGAGAGGTCGCCCGAGGGACGGTCGACGGTCGAAGGGCGGCCTGTCCGCGCTGCGGTGCAGGTCTTCTTGCGCAATGGGGTTTCTATCGGGATTGAAGGTTCTCGTGAAGTTCTCGTGTTTTGGGTGAGTGAAAGCCACTTGGAGACCGTTGAAAAATGACCCATGCGATTGTTTGTTGTGATCCAAGTGCCAAAGTGCCAGACTGGATAGCTGAGATTGGCTGAGGCGGCCGAAGCTGGACACCAGCTTCTGCATTTCCAGGCCATACTTTTGGGCTGTCTTTCATACTCGGCAACGTCTAGGTCCAGGTTCCTTGCATGAGCAATACATTCTAATGGATGGATATCCTGGTGTTTGCTGAGAGGTTTCCAAGACCAAACAGCTACTATCATAGCTGTATGTCTCAAGAAATTGAAGTACAGGTTGCTCGCAAGAAGCAATAGATGCACAGTGACACACGTATGTGTTCCCGTTGCCAGCAGTTGTTATACTAACTGTGTTGTTTACAGGTGAAGAACTCAAGACACATCATCGTCAGCCAGGTGCAAGCCAATTTGGCTGCCGATCAAAGCACATCGCTTTGCCGCTTATCGCGCGAAGGCCGCACGGGTACTGTAAGGGTCATGATGGTCAATGGTTTGTTCTTTGGGTGTGCTTCCTGTCATGCTGGAAATGGGACCAAAAACAAAAAAATGTGTGGCGTTCCGTTTGGCTGTACGTTCCATCCATTTACTCATAGCTGCTTGCTGAAATTGGCTTGAAACATGGGCCCTGACAAGGGTTGAGTTCTCATCTCCAAGCCCATTCTTAGTGATGCGAAGATCTTACTGTACAGACACTTGCCACCGGCTTCTTAGGGGACAAGGTTCCCAAAGGGGCGAGAGCAAGTCATGTCTGGTGATGTGAAGATGACCGAAATGGCTGTGGGTCAAAACCTTAAGCCCGTTTATCCCTGGTAACTTTGACCTCCCTTGTAGTCTACTCTGTTCGTTTTCGGTGGTCAACCCAGGTCTTCCCGGTTTCGAACCACATCGCGCAGGTCTTGCAGCTGTTGCCTCAGCGAGTCTTACAGCAGTACATTGACTTTGAGAAGCAGGGCCAGTGCGCCGATGGCCGGCTTGGTAGCCTCAAACCCAGAGGTTTCAATGTAAACCACCAACAAAGGACCAAGTCTGCGTGACTGACTCTCAGGAGTTGACACTTCTGGCAAAGAGGTCGCAGATCCGCGGAATAAACTGAATTAAGTGCAACTTTGCTGCCACAGGAACTGAAACTGTTGGGGTCATCGTCACTGCACAGCTTGTTGGCCCAAGACATCACCTGTACCTCTACCTGCGCGCGGTTTGCGAAAGGTACTCGGCTTGCATCAAGCTTTTGGAGTCTGCTACGCCAGGGTGAGACTGGGCTCGGCTCCGAAGTGTGGAAAGGGCACACCACTCTTGCGGGTACGCTTGATCGAGTTGAACCTGATAGCCTGAAGAATCCTGAAGATTGATTCAAGAACCGGTCGTCCAAAAATCGTAAGTTGTGTTCTTGAAGAGAATAGACATCCTTGAAATGCCCAGCCTGGGGATAATGGGGTCCAGCCTGTAAATCTTTTGAGGGACGTAAATGCTTCCTAGTGACAACCATGTTTCTTGTGCTAGGTGTTATGAGCACCGTTTGCCACGTCAGCACGTCTACGACACCACAGAGCCCCGCATGCCCTCTGTCAAGAATAGGAACCGGTTGACCTCCCAAAGGCCTTTTGTCCAACCCTAGTTGGTACCATCCTTGTCCAAAAAAGACCAGAGGTGGTGCTTCTTCAGTTTGCCAGGAGCCTCAACGTCTTGAGTCCCGCAAGCATGGTGAGTGGAAAGCCGCTGCTGGTGGAAACCGCCCGGCTCTCAGATGTTCCAGGCCCGTAGGTTGGCCAGGCTTGCGCAGGATGCGTTGGGAAGAGGAATGTAGTTTCACCAACCATCATCACATATTATTCTCACAACATCAAATCATTCAAATCCTTGAAAGGTGGCATGAGAGGCAAAAATATGTTTGACAATACAAGCCAAGCCGGGCGTTGGCATCCTGCAGGTGGTTGTAGGTTGGACATGTGTCATGGTCTTTTTGTCGGACATCCAGCTGTGGAGCTTCAAGGCCCCCATTTTTGCAGAACTGTTTTGCCACACAGCAACGAGGCAGAAACTCTGAAGTAGGAGACGAGCTGAACCAATTCCCTTCATCGTCTTTCATTTAGATTTGGTCGGATCGGGTCTTCTGGGTGGTCCCAGTTTGCTCAGCATCCCCAGACTGCGAATTCCAAGGTTCTTCAGCTCATTGTCGGCTACTCCGGCCTTTGTTTGAAGAATCAGCAGGGCGCCATCGCAGTGAAACTCATCACACAGGCACGGGGCGCTCTCACTGCTCGACGCCGTTGTTGTCTAGTTGGGCCAGCACGGTCGCCGTGTTCAATCCGATGCTTACCAAAATGACAATGGATGACAATGGTAATTCGATTAGTGTGGGACTACTTGCGGAGTAGTCAACTACAGCTGCGCTTGTTTCAGCAGAGCTTTTTGGTACTGCAGGTGCTGGACAATATGTCCCTCTCTTTGCGAGACTTGCACCCTGGACATCGCACCGTGCTAGAGGCTGGCAGTGCAGTAGAAGAAGAGTTTGAGATGTTTGCGTATTTTCTTTGTTAGACCTTTGGCCTGCAAGGACATTTTGCAAGACCAACGGGGCATGACATGCAGTTTTCACTGGCATACGGAGCATGTAAGACTCTGGGCCCAGCTTTCGTTGCTGCGTATACAGAACCCGGGATGTGTCATGACTTGTGTTTGTCAGGCCTACTTGTTCGCGGGTATCTCAGCATGTCGTCCAACAATGTGCGCAGATGTTGAATGTTTGTGCTGCAGTGCATGGTCCTGCTTTCAAACCTTGGTGCATGTTCATGCTGCGTCTAAAGCTCTAAGGTTCCTTGTATCAATTTATCAATTTAAGTCGCACCTGGCTTCGCTTGTTGCAGCTTGCTGGGGGCCGCCTGAGGACACCGCCCTGAGTGTGTGCTACTACATGCCCAATGATGTGACTTTGGCGGACCGATCTCAGTCCTTTTTCCAGCAGGCCGGATCTGCCAGAGCGTTTGGTTCTTTGCATTTTGACCACGTCATGATAAGATTGCTGGTGTCCAACAAACGTAGAAGCTCTGAGGGGAACCACCAAATCAAGCAGAACATTGAAGAACAATTGTCATTTGCATCCATACTACCTAATTAATTGCGTGGTGTGTCTCAAACCAATGAGACCCTGCAAATATTATTCCAACACTGTCAAGTTCCGCAAAGCAGATCAAAAGCCAGCTGTTGGGGCCTTCCAAAATATGTCAGTAGATTTGATCAACGACGATCATTGTGTCAATTAGATGTCTGAGGAATCTGACACCGCCTGACACAGATGACCGGCTTTACCCGTCCGCTCCAACCAGACGATCCGCTCCGATGTCGCCACCTTTCGCCCGCCAGGCATCGGAGCGCTACTTGCGCTTGGGGCACATCAACAGATACTGCAAGCGGCTGGGACTGAAGACATACCAGAAGTCATCCGGAAGCGCCTGCCCGGGCCTACCCAGCTAATACCGTGGAAACTGAGGGTCCCTGATTTTGCTGCGGGTACACTTAGAGATCTAATTATTATGATGGTGTGATGATCTTTGAGTGAATGATTGACCATGGGTTTTATACTCACATATACTCACATACTCAGCAAAGTCTGTGAATGCAGCAAGCTTATCCAGGATGCCGATGCAAACAACTCCACCCAGGTGCTGCCTCCGTGCTGCTGCAGTACTACACTTGCAAGGAAGCAAGTCTGAGGCGGAGTACTACACACAACAGGCAGGAGATGTTGCTGCATGTCACACCATTGATATTCTAGGTCATACAGTTCAAATCTGCAATTTAGTTGCGTAGCAAGCCGGTCTTTGATAACACCACCCTGCAAGTCTAAACCACAGGTTGAGAGAAAGTCAGGTCGAAACTGAGGGAGTCGAGGAGTGGAGCAAATCTATGGTGCGTGTCGTCCCTCGATTCTATTCCCAGGTTGTTTTTGTTAGTGTTTTAAAATACATAAAGTCTTTTTTACTGGATCTTTGGTCCATCGCTCACGTGAGTTGGTCCTAATGAGATCTACTGAATTCATGGGCCGCGAGGCACTGCGGAAGCCCCGTAAGCAAACTCAAGAAGACATTCATGACTCATGTATAGTTGACGAATGGCTAAGTTTGCCCCCACATGTGATATGTGTTTGGGATGTTTGGGTAAAACGCTGTGGTGGCGTCTCTTTGAGGCCCAAGTGATGGGAAGGTGATTTAGCAGGTGACCTCCATTCGCTGGAATTGCTGCAATCCATGCAAGGCCCAAGCTACTCCCCTATAAGGAGTTGCCGGCACCAAGTAATTTTGGCGGGTCACCAAATTTAAATCTGGTCTTCCCTGCTGCTGCATGCACAAGTTTCTTGTGACCTTGGCCAGGCTCTCAACAAGTTGAGTGATGCACCAGTCTCCTCTTTACTGGCAGTTTGCTATCACAACCTGGCTGTGCTTCAGCTGCATGCCCTTGGGGCTTTCAGATGCACAACGCACTGTTTTTGCCTAAAAAGACAAGCACACCACATGGGTGGGTGAGTGATTCGGTGTGTTCAAGTGCTCGGCCCAGCCACCATGGGGTTCCTCGTCGCCGTTGCTCTCCTGAGGTTCACACTGCGGTCCAGCACCGCATTGCAGATGCAGTCGCGCATGTGAGGTGCCCTTCGCTTGTTGTCACAGTACATTCCACTGTATTGGCTTGAGACCAAGATGTGTTTGTATCATAGTTCCATGTGGTTCCTGTGTGTATGTATAGATATATACCTTGTTCTAGGGGGTCTCCCTCATTTCACATGTTTACAAGCTCCCTGAATACTCAAGCCTCAGCTTGCAGATGTCAAGATGTGTATACACCAGATGGGGAGCTAAGCTCAATACTGTAGAAAGGTGTGCAAAACGTCCATGCCTTAAACCATGTTAATTGATCCATGTTGAAGGCCTGTTTGGACCTAGAAGAGCAGGGGGAAGCAATGTGACAAACAGGAATTGTATACAGATAGTGTTGAACAGCTGCCCGGAAGCATTGCAACGAAGCAGCAACCGTGCTGCCTTAAATTTACCGTGCATTGTCATGGTTGGTACAGTCAATCTTGACAATCTTCTGAATGTGAGGCGACGAATGTCAAGATCGTTCTGCAAACTCCATTAGTCAAACCTTTCCGGATTCTTCTACCAAGCTTTAGAGTGAACCACCTGCACCACTTAGAACCAGGTCGTATGTGGCCCTGCTGCGTCAGTTGCCAAAGCTGGGGAACTCCTGGATGCAGTTGCTGGACAGACGAAACGTGGGGAAATGGTTGCTGGATGTTGCCTGGAAAGGAGCCTGAGATCAGGATGGATTCTCTACCAGAGGTGTCAAAAATAGATGGCTTTGGCATGTGAACCGTTCTTGGTGGCAGTTGCATTGCCCAGCGCTTTTGTGGGATTCTCTACCGGAACATCACGGGGATTTTGTGGGGTTGGGAGCACGTGGCTCCATCCTTCAGTTCTTACGGGTCAGTAGCTGGAAGTCTTTGGGGTTTGTTGGATGAGGGAGGGTCACAGTATTCTTCTTGATGGACGAGCGGGATGGACCGCGTGACAAGTTACATCAATATAATATACCATCAAATTATCGAAGATGTTCTCGTAGTGGTTTGGATGCACAGACAAATAACCAAGACTGCATGAAAAGGAACACCTGATGTCGGAACCCAATTGCAATCCAACTTGTCATCCAAATATTTGTCATCCAAATGTGCTGACCACGGCAGACCTTCCTTGCGAATAGTTTCCAGGGTACTCCTACGCCAGGACAATACCCAATGGCTGATCCTGAAGGCGCAAGAGCTTTGGCCACAACATCAGCAGCAGGCGGGCGAATCAGCGTCTGTCACATGAGGTCTACAAGCCTTGGGAGCGCATGGGCTGGTTGTTTCATTGGAAATGGAATTGCTTGCGCAATTCTTCTTGCTGAAAGACATGCTATTTTCCATGAACAGAGCCGTACAGTAGTGTTTAGTTTGCCACCCAATGTGTATCAAGTATGGCTGTGCCCACCTCACCACCACCTCTTTCGTTCATTTGTACTTGGGCTGCTGCACCGTCCAAGTTTTCAATATCCAGCCCCTCGTTTTTGCACAACCTCCAGAGCAGCCATGATTGGCACAACTTCCGGGGCGATTGTCACATATCGTCACTCAAAAATGCGATCGGCACTCGAGGTTTTGAGTTGGCACACTGGAGGCTTCTGTTGCACCAGCCTCCATATGTCTGAAAGCCATGTTCCAAACAAACCCGACTGAGAGCCATTCTGCGCCAGAATGGAATCCGAGACAGTCAGCTGGTGAGGACGACGTAGGCGGCACGCAGGGGTGAGACGGTGGAAGGAGTTACAGATTCTGCACCAAGTAGAAAGCCAAGTAAGTATGGTTCGACCCGTGCTTTCTCATGAGATTATATTGTGTGGTTCAGAGATCATGGTGAAGCTCCTCCCCTGTGTCATTCTAGGTTGCACCTTTCCAATCAATCTTGAGCATTCTTGAGCTGCAAACTGTTTCACATGGAACTTTCCGGAATTCAATTTGATTCGCAAAAATATTCACTAATATATGTATAAATAATTATGATTAAGTATATTATAATAAATAGATATATTGTATATAATAAAATATATCGAAATATATATATTGTAAGGGCTCCGCCCGGGTGCCACCGACTCCTATTTGAATGAAACCTTAGATCTAAATCGTGCGGATTAAAAGCAATATTGCATGGAATAATTTGCACTTAGATTAATGGATATAGTATATTTTAAAAAAAGAATCTAAGATAAAAGACCTTAGGTAAAAGCGAGCGAAAATAATCTCTTTTAATATATGTTTGCTGGAAAAATGAAAGATTAAAAGAAGAATATATAGAAAACGATAGGCAAGAAATAACCTAGAGGGGTCGTTGCGGACCACGAAAAAAAGGGAAATGATATATTAAAGCCAATATAAATAATGATTTTAATAAAGTATAACTCTAATAGAGCATTTATGGTTGTTAGAGCCTACAGTTTGCGCAATTGCGCCCTTAATTTAGTATAGAGCCATAGTTTAGCAAATGCAAGGTTTTGAGATGTTTGAAGCGTCCGCGCAATTTCGGGCCACTGGCAAATTTCGAGGGATTTGAAACATTTGAAGGGCAATTTCGGACCACTACAAAAAAGGATTTGGCGCGCCAGAGCTTTGGAACGTCTGAAGCGTCCAGAATATAGAAGCTGGTTGCTCCAACTGCTAGTATGGCAGAACCATTGACAAATTTTGAGGGGTTAAAGGTATTTGAAGGGCAATTTCGGACCACTATAAAAAAGGATTTGGCGCGCCAGAGGCCACAATCTGGCACAGAGCCCAGAGTCCACAGTCCAGCAAGTGCGAGATTTTGGAGCGTCTGACGCGTCTAGAATGCAGAAGCTGGCTATTCCAACTGCCAGTATTGCAGAACCATTGGCAAATTTCGGGGGACTTGAGGGGTTTGAAGGGCAATTTCGAGCCATTAGAAAGGATTTGGCGGGCCAGAGCCCAGAGCCCACCGTCTGGCAACTGCGCCCACAGTCTAGCAATTGTTAAATTTTTGCGCATTTCATTTCGGGCCCAGAAAAGAAAGGATTTGGAGAGCTTAGGTTCCACACCTTCAATGGTCTCAGGCGCCGTCCCTGCCTTCGCCAAAGTAGGGGTCGGCGGATATATTTTTTGAGATTTAATATATTTTAAATATAGCTTTGAATAATTGAATCTATTATATATATATAAATAAATAGATATTAATATAGTATTATATTTGAATGATATAATAATTATGAGAAAAAAACAATTATATAGATATATATAGATATACAAATCAAGATCTTTTGAAATAGAATAAAATTGATTATATATTGGAAATTACATATTTAAAATAATGATACAATTAAATGTTATATAAAATATTGAAATGGATTAATATATTTAAAATGAATTTAATAAAATAAATGATATTTAAATGTAGGAATTGATAATTATTATATATATATATTGATAATTATTCGTATGATTTTAATGTTTATTTAGGTATTTTTTTAATAATATATTAATATGAATTTATATTCAGATTTTATATTATATTAATATATATCTATATTTATATATTTAATAAATATATATATATATTAAAGATTTATTATCGCTAAAAATTATGAAATTATTAATATACAATATATTTGTAAAAATTACTATTTTAAGAAAATGATTTTATTTGGGTATGATTAAATTTGCTTATATATTTGATAATACCGTGGATATGAATATGATGAAAAGATAAGGATAAAAGGGATATCCTTATTTTGTACCTGAATTTTGGGTAAATAGATTCTATTTTCTTTCATTGCAGGTAATTTAAAAATTAATATGTTCATAAATATTGCCAATTAATGCCAATGATTTGATAGGAATATCTAGCTTAGGAGGGATTCAAATGAATGTATTTGGTGGAATTTAAAATCTTCCAATTCAAAAGAATAATTACTAAATTATTTCCAATAATTTTGGTTATATTCTGCAGTAGGGATGTCCAAATCCCTCTGGGATGATGTTCTAGCCAAGTCGGGCGGCAGGTTGGGGTGCCGCACTTACACCCACCCATCCCCAGCACTTCCAGATTGACACGATTTCAGACATCTGAATCTGAGATCTTGCGATATTTTTTTGTCTCTTCGTTTTCCGGTATGGTTTCCAGGTTTTTTCCTGGCGGTGAAATTTTGAAACTAGTGGTTCTATATGAATTCTTGAATTCTGCCTTGTCCTTTGCCATCCACTGAAGCTTTTTGGAGCACCTGCCAGCAACTGCAATGGCAAAAACCAGAGTGCACAGACAACATACAAGACACACACCTCACAGCAAACTATTCACTGACTGAACCATAGGACCACATCTCTTTGGCCAGCAATTTCCTTTTCTCTTTGATCAGCGAGTCGGCTTTTGTTGACAGTGTCACAGTGTCACATATGTGTGGGCTCAAAAAAAGAGGTGTTGCTAAAGAAAACAACATCTCCAATCTACATGAAAAAATCTCTACAACATATAGTTTTGCCTCCCAAAAAAAACATATCATTCACAAAAAAAACAGCTGCAACAATAGAACCTCACTGCAAAACCTTACACAAGCCACAAACAAACCTAACATCTCAACAATCTGGCATGTCCCTCGGGCACGACCCAAAGGTGCCGCCAAACTTAAGCGGTAACAGCTCCAGAGCACATCTGGACATCCCTAATTCTGCAGCCTCTTTACGAGGAAGATAGCGTAATTTGGGTTCCTGCCTGCTCTGAAGCCATATTGCGTGCCCATGATCCATTTGTCTAATTGTTCGGAGAGGCGGTTTTTGATGATGGCCGCAATGATCTTATAGAAAATTTATAGAAGGGAAATTGATCTATAATTTTCAAAAATATTGGAATCTCCCTTCTTATATATTGATGTTATTCATATTTCGTACAATGATGATTCGATTATATCCTTGTCTAAAATCTCATTGGTATAATGAAGGAGATAGGATCTATTTCTGGCAATATTCATTTGCAAGATATTCAATAATCTTCTGGGAATATTGCGCGTTGGTAATTCGTCGTCCCTGATTATTTTTAAGCTTAGTGAATTTCAGAGTCGGTCGTGCCCTCATTCTGTTTAATTCGGTCCATTTAT